GTCTTTAAGGGATGGTTATTTTTAAGTGAGTGCTGTCCAAATTGTTGGCATCTCTTAAACCCAAGACCCACTCCTTGTCCCTGGCATTGTCTACCTTCTACAAATCTCAAATCACTCCTTCATACCCCTCTTACCATTTCATGTTGTGGCTGAGTAACCGTCTGACTTTATATTCCATAATCTTGATGATCCATTCCCAGCTTTTTCACCATTCTCTATGACACCCACTTGTTCAAATTACCCACAATGTTGGACTCGATGCTCTATCTTCCCCAGCCTGTCCCATCTCTCCAGAGAGGATGAGGAGGAAGGATGGTGCATGAGAAATACATGGACCCCGTTCCCCTTCAGGCAAGACAAAAAATCTCCTTCATCTTTGGATGGTGGGACCCAAACTGAACCATTGGGAAAATCCTTATCCCGTACCTGCCATGATAAGGAAGTAAGTCAGAGAAAAAGTTAGAGTTGTGATGATTTCAGCCTTTCCGTGAGACAGCAGCTCCACTGGAACCCACCAGAGCATGTGTCCGGTATGGAATGCGCGGCCACGTGCGAGGGTACGAACTTGTTTAATGCCATCCTCATGGCAACCCAGAAGATTCTGTAATGCCAACCAAGATTGTGAGGATGGGATGGGAGAGAATGCGGTGATGCAATAGGATGTCATAATGCTGGAGCAATTTCATTGGGCAGTTGGATGTGGGTACCAGCCTGGAGGCCAGGAATACGGTTAGGGAGATGGAAAATACTGTGTTTGTTGGAGAATGAAGTAGCAAGGCTGCATAGGGTATAACACAGCATCACAGCACTATTGCAGAGCCCAGCTACCATGTCCTTACAGCTGCCCTGGGCACTGCGTAACACAGGGGTGGGCAAAATGTGGCCCGCGGGCCAGATACGGCCCGCCAGGCCATTCTATCCAGCCCTTGGGGCCCCTAAAAAAGTTAGAAAATTAATATTTATCTGCCCTTGGCTGCCTGTCATGCGGCCCTTGATGGCTTGCCAAAACTCAGTAAGTGGCCCTCCGTTCAAAATAATTGCCTGCCCCTGGGGTAACAGCTTCTCAGATATACAAGTGGGCATACTGACATGCTGACAGTTTAAAGCAGTTATAATCAATCCCAGAACTCCCATTGCCACAATGGGGCTAGGATTTATCTCTCAGGAGAGTTTGAAATGGGTTTTGAACCATTTGATTTTAGCTCTGAGGAAAACACAATAGTCTGACTCGACAGAAAAGCCATGAGAACTGGCCACACAGGTTTAAGGAGCCCACGCTGAGATCTGCTACACATGACTTCCAGAAGCAGTGACCTCCCATTAATCTCAAGGGGAGCTATGAATTTTCAGTTCAGTTGAATGAGTATCAGGCACCTTTTATTTAGTTGCCCAAGGCAGAGCAGCGTTGCACCCTATAGACTGACTAATTCAGAGGTACATAAGCTTCCATAAGCAACAGGTCACTTGATCGATACACAAGCTTGTGTACCTCTGAATCAGCCCAAAAGGTAAAACTCTGCCCTGCCTTCTGTCTGACTTCCAGTTAATATGGCTAACTGCCTCCCTCTGTTCTTAGCTGCCCAACTTAAGGCTTTTACATATGTATGCACTGGTCAACACTGTCTCCCTTGTCCCAGTCAACTTGTTCATCAGTGACCTGGAACAATTTGCAAATGACACATCGATTGGCATGCTGGTAGGTGACAAGGAGAACAGGGCCGTTACACAAAGAGCTGTGGAATCTTGGGCCCATTCGAACAAAAGCCACTGGCATACAGCCGGAGCGATACACCTAGGAATAAGGAAGACAGGCCATATTTACAGAATGGGGATTGTATCCCAGCAAGTTGTGATTCTGTAGAGACAATGTAGGGACTATCAACTGAAAATGAGCATCCAGGGTGAATATGGTGCCAGGAAGGGTTAATGTGGGCCTGGGTTATATAAACAGGAGTGTAGAGAAGTGATATTACCTCTTCATGTGGCATGGGTGAGCCAGATCCCTGAACACTGTGTAGCTCCAGTGTCCCCATTTTATAAAAGGATATTGAACAGTTTGAGAGGATCCTGACCAAAAGAGGACTTCACTGCATTGTAGAAGTTCCTCTGCATGGGGAGAAAAGGCCAGGTACTCTTTTAAGTTATCTGAGAAAGCCCTGGCATGAAGCAAAAACTGAAAGATGAAGCCTGGCAAACTCAAAATAGAAACACGGTGACATTTTTTACCGGAGTGGGGGATTCAGCAGTAGAACACACTGCCAGGGGAAGTGGTCCATTCTCCATCCCTTCATGTCTTCCATTAGGACTCAGCAATCTGGTTGAAGAGGTGTGTGAGTTGAGCACAAGCAACCAGGCTCTATGTTACAGGGGTAACTTAGTGAGACTTGATGGCTTCTCATAAGCAGAAGGTCACACTACATGATTTCATGATACCTTCTCACCGTGAACTCTGTGAAACTATGAATAGTTCTGGAGAATTTCCTGAGCCAGGTCTCAAGTCTGCATGGAAGTTGCATTGTCTTGCATGCTCTGGCTGATGAGGTTGCTTTCTTAGTGTCCTGGAGGGCTGGTTCTCTGCTTGCATCTATGCCTATCCTGCAGGCTGTTCTTTCTCTTGTCTCCTCCATCCCACTGATTTCCAAACCGGTGCACTCTGTAGCTGGTATGGCTAATGTGAAAGGCACCAATAGGACAGGGGTGCAGGACTGTTCATGGGGTGCTTTTCTATTATCCATCCTCCTTGCTTCACCTCTCTGACCTGTCCAGCAGAGGTATATCCCTCTCTCTCACTCCTACCCATAGCCATTTCCTTCAGACCAGGGCACTTTTGCTCCCCAAGGCCACCTCTGCATTCACGGCTACAACATCTTCCCTCATTGTCTCTCTCCTGGGGCAAACATGAGGGGTACATTTCTCTACTCTCCGGGTTTTATTATACCCCCATCGGCTTCTCTCCTCTACCCCTTGGGCTGCAGCTGCTGCTGTCCAACCACCATGGAACCATCCCTTGTCCCTGTTTGCAGCCAGTCTGGACCTAGCAAAGGGCAGCGCTTGATGCAGGAGAAAGGGCGGGAGGGGCCGGGGGGCAAAGGGACACGGGGACCGTTGGGAAAGGAGTGGTTTGTTCTGCCTGGGCAGAAATCTTTCTTCTAGATGAAGTGTGTGCATCTCAGCAGTGCTTAGTCCCATACAGGGGCCTCCTTAGGATGACAGACACTGGAGGGCCCATCTGATCATCTCCAAGCACCAGAGCACACAGGGCTCTCAACTTTCAATGTGCTGAGTGTCCCTCATTTGCATTAATGGCTATCAGGGTTGCCAGCCCTCCTGGATTGCCCTGGAGTCTCCAGGAATTAGATATAAACCATCAGGAGACTGCTGAGAGTCACCCGGGAGATTTAAAAAAAATAAAAATTAAATGTTGAATCTGATTTATACAGTAGTCCAGTAGGTTTTTAAAATGTAATAGTAATATGCATTTGTTTTCCTGACGGAAAGTCTATGCACCATAACCTGTAATTGATATATGCAAACATGTGAATACCTTAATGTCATTATGTCACGTGATGAAACCTCCTGGAATAGATTCACACAGAGTTGGCAACCCTAGTGGCTAAAACACTCAAAATGAGTTGCAATCGCTTCTATTGCTGTAGGGCATTGGCGACGTATAGGGGGTGCACGCACACCCCGAGATTGGTGGTGCACCCCCTACGAAAAGCACCACCAATGCTGCCGGTGGCGCCTGTGGGCGGTTGCCACTTGCCACCCCCACCTCGCCACTGTTGGCGGCATCTGTAGGCAGTCCCCAATCACCGCTGGCCACCGCCGATGCTACTGGTGGCGTCTGCGGGTGGTCGCTGACCGATCGGTGCTCACCACCCTCCCCCTCCCCACCGCTGACAACGCCATGGCCGCTTGTGGGAGCTCTCTGCTGCCACTGCTGCTAACGGGCAGTTGCCGTGCTCCCCGCTCGGCCTCTGGGGTGCACACATCGCTCATGCTGTAGGGAATGAGGCAGGGGGACAAAAGCTGAAGGTATCCTAAGCCCTTTACTGAGGAGTTGAACCGAGCCAGGAGCCAAGTTTCTGGGCCTGCCACTGTTTGCTGTGTGAACACAGGCAAGCTGTGCTTAAAACTAATAAGAGGGGAGAGGATGGAGAGAGGAAGAATGAGAAGGATGGGCCAGGGAGAAGGAAGAGTGTATGTACTAATTAAAACTACTCCATGCACTATCCGTTAACAAAGGAACAAGGTGCCGTCACCAGCTGCTGGTGGTACCAGAGCCTCCTCAAGCATCACACGCAGCATCAGTTGTAGCGGTGCAGATGCCTGCTGTTTAGCCTGGGGGGGCTCTGATCTCCAGCTCAGCAGATGCTAACTGTGGGGTACCTGGATGATAAAGAAAGGCCCCTTTGGGCACATTAGGAGTTGGGAGCCTGTCCACGGTGCGCGGCATCCATCTCAGCCGGTTCGTTTCACTCCATCCCAGCTCAGCGGCATGGAGTGGCCCCATATGGGGGACGGAGATGGGATCCCTTACGGGGCAAGGACAGGACTCCCCCATGGGTGGGTTTCCCTTGTCTGAGACTGCCGCAGCCTGCTGCGCTTAATGCTTGGTGTGCAGACCTGGGGCTGCTGGCAAACATAGGGTATTTCTTGGTAAGGCCTTGGGTAGTTGCTCTGCAAATTCCCTTTCCGCCACTCTGCTGTGTGCGCCACACCAGTGGTCCTCGCCCTTTTTGCTACCAGGACCCATTTCTAAACATCGATGGCCAGCCCGGGCCCCCCGGCCCCCGCGTGTCGGAGCCCTGCAAGGGACAAGCCACGGTGTCCCCCCGTCTTTCTCCTTGAACAGAGTCCTTTCATCTACTCTTGTGATCAGGGGGCTGCGAAACGCGGCGCTGCACGAATCCGGGGGGCTCCACGCCCCGTCGGGGTTTCCGCAGCGGGGACGTGACGTAAGCACAACGGGCGGGGCGTGATGCGCGTGACGCAGGGCGCTGGTGTGGGGTCACGTGAGGTTATGGGACCCGGAAGTGGCCGCTGTGCGTCGCCATGCCGGGCTCGAGCACTCGTCTGCCCGACCGGTGAGACACCCCCCGCGGGGATTAACGTCCCCAACCGGGTATTAACCCTCCCCAACCCCCCCGATATTAACCCTTCCTGTGCCCCCCTGCCCCCCATTGTTACCAGTGCCCCTCACTCCTGACCTGCACCCCCCTGCTCCCCAGCCCTGCCAGTGCCCCTAGCTCCTGACCCACAGCCCCTTGCCCCCTAGCACTGCCGGTGCCCCTCACTCCCGACCCGCAGCCCCTGCCCCCCCCCGACACACACAGGCACACGCAGAGCAAAAACCCAGACATTTGTTCACATTTTAAAAACTTGACCGGACAGGGGCCGAAAAAAGGACACGCTGGGGAAAACCCATACACGTGGTAACCCTACCCCGGGGGCTTTTCCTCAGCCTCCCTCAGGTGGGGGCCTTCCCCCAACGGAGCTGAAGCCCCCACACAGACTGAAAGAGCCCTGAGCTGTGCCGGCTCTCCCTGTTCGCTCGGTGGGCTGAGCACCGCCAGGTCCCAGGACCTCCTGGCCCTTGCCCAGCTTGAGGTCCCCCTGGCTGGGTGGAGGCTGGGCCGGGAGGACCTCGGGTGTCTGGAGCCATGTCCCCTCCTTTGTCTGATCCCTTGGAAGCCTCTGGGCGATTGCCAGCTCCACAGATGCCTTTGAGGGCCCGCGGGAGCTGCCCGGTGCCCCCGGTGGAGCGCTTGTTATGAACCCACGACCTCACCCCCATCACAGTTTGCTTTTTGTCCCAAGGGAGCTGTTGGCAGCGCCTGTAGTGCCTGCCCTAGTAAAGGAGGCTGGTAGTTCCCCTCGGTAGGCCTAGGCCCACATTCCCTCGGCATCAAGGGGGCCTGTTGCATAACGGCAGAGAGCAGATGCCGAAAAGGGGAGGGAACCGAGTCTGGCCAGGGCTTTTCCCCCTGCTCCTCTCACACTTGCAGCCTCCAGCATTTAAGCTCGAGGATGCTCTGATTCGGAGGCTGTGCCCCTCTCAGTTGCTGCCAATGCTCTTTTCCTTCCTGAATGTGTCCTGTCCTGCCGTGAACCTGGCTGAGTTCTCGGTTTCTACCGCGTCTGGTGGCAACACGTCCCAGCCTCAAATTCCCTGCTGGGTGAAAGAGAGCTGCCTGGTGTTTGTTTGAAACTTATGACCTACTCATGTCATGTTCATAGATTCATAGATGTTAGGGTCGGAAGGGACCTCAATAGATCATCGAGTCCGACCCCCTGCATAGGCAGGAAAGA